GAGGGTATGTTGAAGGTGCTCTGGTTACAGGAGTACTGCACAAATTTAACATAGTACCCTTAAATTGCTATCCCCAGAAGTACTGGGACCCCCAAATTTCTACATAGCTGGTGGAGGGGAAAAAAGGATAAGTCTTGGGACCAGCAGTTGGCGTAATGGCTATGTCACTGGACTCCCATGTAGTCGACCACGGTTTGAGTCCCGGACCCGGTGGCTTAAACTCAATGCCAGGTGCATGTGCGTGAGTGCCCAAGATCCCGAGAGGAGAATGGAGGAGGAGAGATTGTGGCGTGGCCATCCTCCCTGGGGAGTGAATTCTCGCTTTCTGTCTCTCTGTCTCTGTCTGTCTGTCTGGCGAGCACACATGCCCTATTGCAAAAACCTCTCCAAAAAAAAAAAAAGGATAAATCTATTTATTCCCTCTTATCCTAACTATTCCACGGGCACCGTCATGCAGTAAAAGTTGTGCCACTGTAGAACGGCGAGGCTGCTAAAGCAGTCTCTGCAGCTTGGTTCCCACGGCCATGGGTGCGGGCCCTGGGGCACCTGTCCCTTCTCACTCTGGGAGTGGTCCATGATGACACCCTAGAGCCCAAAGCAGGTGGAACAACTTTCTAGCAGGTTTCCCGATGATATTTTCCTTCTGACACACAAAGCTCTGCGTTTCATATTGAGCTTTAGAGCCGTAATTAGCTTCCGCTTTAAAGAACATGCACAGCGCTTTACAGAGTTTTAGTGGTGCGTGTGCTTCTTCGTCATGCACTGCCGCTCGCTAGATTTTAACCTCTTCAAAGACTTCGGGATTTCTCTCGGACACCTGTAATTACAGGTGTGTAAGAAGACTCTACGGATGGCACAGAAACCGTGTATGACAACTAGGAATAACTGGGAATAGTATTTTAGTTTCAGCATCATGGTAATCCTTTTCATGGCTTTTTCGGATAGGGATCTACTCCGGATTTAATTTGCGCTTTCGTATTTAGTCGGGCACTTCAAATGACAAATCACCAGGTGAAAGAACACGGTATGAGGTGGCTTGAACTCTGCCCCTCCGTGGCTCCGTGTCTGCGGGCGTGTCATCAAGCCCAGGGCTAGAAGCATGCAGTGCTGGGACGCAGTGACTTTCAGAACCACTAGGGGGCACCAGAGTGCCAGAGAATTCACCTGCTGCATTTCAGGGCGACTTAGGGATAAAGAGAGGTCTCATGGAAGACCTCGCTGTTATCAGGGTGAAATGTAATACAAGAATGAATTATTTTAGGCTTAATTATAAACTTCCGTTTGCTAAAGCATGGCAGTATCATTAGGTAAATTCTTTTCCCCAAAGGGTACCCACGATAGAATCTAAGGCCACATAGCTGCCAGGTTTATCTCCGTTAACCAATGCAAAGCCAGCCACACTCTGGGTGCAACCACGAAGCTATATACAGAACGAGTCCGTGTATTAGGACAGAGAACAACCGTATTTGCAAAGAAAACGCACTGCAAAGCACACAGGCATGCACACACGTGTAATGCACACACAGAATGTCGAGACGACCCGCAGAAGACCTTCCCCCCATGCCTTCATGCTCTCTCGCCCCCTGTCCATGCTAAACACGGAACATGTGTTCCCACGTTTTTAAACATCTCTCTTAAAGTCACGTAAGCGGCCCCAGATGTTGAACTCGTGGGGTTACTTCTGTGAGCCTGCGACAAAACAGATCAACTGCAAGTCGTTTGGATCCAGGGTTTATTTTCCAGAGGAAAAGCCAATAGAAAACATTTGTTTTAGGAAAAGAACAAAAGTAATCACTGCTTTTTGACCACAGAGTGTCTGCTGGGGAGAAAGGAAGTCTCCCATGTCAGACTGCAGACACTGCTCTCGGTAAACAGGGAACCCCCTTGTGGTTCGGATTGTCTCATGCAGGATGAAATAATCCCAACCCTGCAAAAGGTGACCTCACCCAAAATGATGTCATCTTTTTGAAAGAAAAAGAACACAAGAGCGTGTGTTACAATCTAAGGAACTTTGAGGGTGAAGTCATTTCCTAAAAATATTTCAATAATTTGGACAGCTCTATAAGGGATTTTGTATCTTCCCCTGGGGGAGGTGGGGGGAACAAATCTTTCTGGTGTGTTCTGTGTTCATGGACAGCGACTGTGTTGAAAGGTTCTGTTCCAATGTTCCCTTCAACTACTGAAATTGGGTCAACATGCACAATGATAAAGAGGAAAACAGGAGAGCCTGTAGTATCGGCTGATTGCTTTAGTTATACTCCGAGTCTCTGGGTGGCGTTTCATGAAAGAAAAAGAGCACGGGGAACAAAGGGAACAAGGGAAGGTAACGGTCAGGAGCATTTTAGTACTTTCTCCATGTCTTCCAAGCCCTCAAGCAGGAACCCGCACTCACCAACTCCAACTCCTCCTCCTCCGACTGCGCTCGGCACGTAAGAGGGACAAGAGCGTTACTAGATCATGGAAACTTGCAAACAAAACATTTCTTAAGAAAAACAGGGTACTGGCTACTGGCGGTTTTGGGAACTCCAAACAGAGAGAAATAGCAAGTACTTACTGCCTCTGTGTTTGCGGTTGATTTTTTTTTTTTTTTTTCTCAAAAGACCAGGAACATGTTCAAAGTCTAAGATTTCAAATCACCTCCTGTCCCCCTT